AGCACCCCACCCCCACACCCTGCTCCCCCCCCCAGGACCCCCCAAAACCCCCCTCTGCCCCGTGGGCACCCACCTGTAGACGAAGGAGTCGTCGAGGGAGCTGTTGTACTGGACCTGGAAGACGCGGATGCCGGGGACGTGGCGCTGGGGCAACCAGCGGATGCGCGCCGAGGAGCCCGTCACCTCGGCGGCCACCACCCGCCGCTCGCCCGTTGCCCGCGACTCGTTGCCCCCGGCCCGCGCCATGTCGGAGGGACCCGGTCCGGCGGCGGCTTCGGCCTCCCCCCCGTCCCCATCCCCGTGGGGGACGGGCAAGGGCAGGACGGCCACCTCCACCCGGGCGGCCGCCTCGCCGGCGGCGTTGGAGGCCACGCAGGTGAAAGCCCCGTGGTCCCGCAAGGTGGCCACCCGCAGCTCCAAGGAGCCATCGGCCCCCAGGGCTCGCCGGGAGCCATTCTGCACCAGCCGCCCGTCGGGCCCCAACCAGTGCAGGGCCGGGGGGGGGTCCCCGGCCGCCGCGCACCCCAACCTCAACGGTTGCCCTTCCAAAACGGCGGCCGGTTGGGCCACCGCCCCGGCGATGGCGGGGGCCCGGCAAGCCAATTCCTCCTCCGGCACGGCCCACAGTAGCCGTCCGGCTAGCGGGGGGGGCGAAGCGCAGCTCTCCAGGCGCCCCGGCACCGCCAAGCGCCGCAGCCACAGCAGCTCGCAGTTACAGTGCAAAGGGTTGCCCCCGGCCACCAAACTGGGTCCCGGTGGCCCCGACACCGGCGGCAGGGCTCGTAACCGGTTGGCCGTCAAGTCCAAACGAGCCAAACGGGGCAACCGGGCCACAGCCCCGGCGGGCACCCGCTCCAGCAGGTTGTGGTCCAGGGTGAGGGTGGCCAAGCTGGCCATGGCGGCCACCGCCTCCCAAGGGAGGGCCGGCAGGTTGTTGTGGGAGAGGTCCAGGTCCTCCACGGTGGCGGCGAAGGCGGCGAAGGCGGCGGGCTCGATGGCGGCCAGCTGGTTGTTGGCCAGGATGAGGTGGCGGAGGCTGGCCAGGCCCCGCAGCTGGGCTCCGCTGAGGGCGGGCAAGCGGTTGCCGTCCAGGTGGAGGGCGCGCAGGGCCCGCAGGTCGGCGAAGGCGCCGGGGGCCAAGCGGCGGAGGCCGTTGCGGGACAGGGTGAGGTGGACCAGGCTGCTCATGTTGGCGAAGTCGCTGCGCCCCACGGCCCCGATGAAGTTGTCGGCCAAACGCAGCTCCACCGCCCCCCGGTCCAATGTGGGGGGCACGGCCAGCAGCCCCGTGCGGGCGCACAGCAGAGTGGGGTTGGGGGCGGCCGCCGGGCAGAGGCAGCGGGGGGGGCAGCGGTGGGACCCCCCCGCCACCGCCCCCAACATCACCAAGGGCACCAGCAGCTTCGCCATC